GTTTGCTTAATGCCTCATTTGCCTTCCGAAGCATACCAGTGTGGTACACTTAAGAGTGTATTCTCATAAGCTAGTCGTTCTGTACCCTTAGCTAATGCAACTACAATTTCGAATATAGGTATAGAAGAGCTTGATTGATATCGAGCAATTCGAGATTTTATTAAAATTGATTGTAAAAGAGCTTCAATTGGATTATGAGGTGTTTGAGAGACCCAAGAGTTGGCAGATTCCAAAAGGATCGATGGAGGGGTAGGTGTGCGAATTCGAATATCTAATTTCGAAAGCACAGCTTGAGGATCAAATGGTATTAGTCCTGCTCCTCGAAAGCCAGCTTTCATATTCTGAATTGTAATCGATTGTTGATATGCAGCTTTGAAAGCTATAAAGAATTCAACCTTAGAAATATGATTGATATATGCCTTGATAAACTCATCAACTTGACAACTATATGAACGTTTGAGTACGCTAAAACATCCAACATCAAGTGGTTGAGTTAAATGACTTGAATGCGATGGTAACTTTACACATATAATGTCATTTGACTTGCAATATGATTGGAAAGGTATCGATTCATGACTTTCATGCCCATCCAATACTAACATTCGATATTTGCCCTTTCTTCGTTGACTAGTATATTTATCGAAGTGCTTTAACCATTCTAAACCTGTCTCATTATTCGTCCATCCATTAGAAGTAGGTTTAATAGCCCAATCCGCAGGAAAATCGGTTTCGGTATACCAATTGGAAAGATGAACTTGTCCTTGAACTATCAGAAATGGAGGTATAGTTTCACCCTCTCCATTACCACATATAATTGCCGTAGCCTATTCTCGATTGCCTGGTTGTATTGCCTTGTTTCTGCCATTTCTTTCAGAATTAGTTACAATCATTCCAGGGCATATTATACCCATCATAAAGCCGGTTTCGTCGAAGTTGTAGAAATCGCAATCTTGAATACCGTATTTCGCCCGCATATTCGATACCAATCCAAACCACTCTTCAATAAGCTTGGGATCTTCGCAGAGAGCTCTTTGAAAGTCATAAACACGACTAAAACGCGTCTTTAATTTTGTACAACGCTTTACGAATCGATGAGCCCAGAGCTTTCCAACTCTCTTCGCACCTCTTGATTCGAGAATATAATTCGCCATATCTTCTACACCACTTAATTTAGGTGCAAATCCTCTTTCATCTATATCGATAATATACTGAATAAGCACCTCTTCTTCTTTTTCAATCAAATTAAGATTATTTGCTCGAGTTTCCATTCTGTGAATTCGACCGCCCATTCTATCTCGTAATGTAGTTCGAGGGACTTTGTAGATTTTCGCAGCCTTTCCAACTGTAAGATTTTTCGATTTTTGAATAGCTTCAATAGCTAAGATTATTCTGGCCTCTTTTGATTGTATTTCCATAATAATTCGTTGAAATATCGCGTCTTGAAATTGAATGATAAAAGATATTGAAAAAGTGGCGACTCGCTGATAAACCACGTTAGTCAATCAACAATAAGATTTAATTCCCTTTGATTATACACTAAAGCTGCACTCTAGATCTAGAATAGTATTTTCTTCAGAAGCTAGAGCTCTAATTCCTTTAGAATTTCAGCTAGTTCCGCTAAGGAACCTAATTCTTGATCTGTGCTATCTGTTACGTGACGGTTGTTACCCACTAGTGGCTCACGTGCACTAGCCCTGTATATAAAGACCTTCTTACTTAGAATCTTCTTAGTTCTTTAGTTTTAGATTCTAAGTAATTGAATTGACTCCGTTTACGACTTTTCCGTCACACTATCTAAATGGAGTATATTAATACATGGGTTTCTGAATGAGGAATAAAGAATGAGGAATATCTGCTAGGATTTGTGAGATTGGTCCGATGCTTTGGATTTTTTAAAGACTGTATTTATCAATTCAATATTTACGGAATGTTTTGATGCTAGATATTTAGCGAGGTGTTCAGGTGAATAATCCGAGCTAGCGGATCAGGGCAAGTCAGTTTACCTGCAACAGCCGATAGACGCTCTTAGGACAAATATTTTAGAGGTGATATATGACAGGAAAAGTTTGTGACTGTATTGATCTGATGTTGATATCTTTGGATTTCCTCTCCCTAGTACACTTGAGTCTGCCGTTCTGCTAACTCCCACAACTATTCCGGTGAAGAATTTGTCTAATCTAAGCACTACAGATTAATGATATACTAGATGATTTGAGAGCTGCTAACAGGCATCCCCCTCCTCCTAGCGGGCGTCTGACAGAATCTTTGTGTAACTTTTCATGCATCGATGAAGGAGCAAAAGTTTAAGAAAATCGCAACCTAATACAATGAACGATATTAGAGATTGATAATTAAATCATTTCGAAGAGTTTTTTGAACTTTAAAGTATATTGGTTGAATTGAGGATATATCGGGATATTAATCATGTAATATTTCGCTAGCGTTGACGCTAGTGCCTCAGCAATGTGAGCCGAAATATTATATAGTAGTGTTACGAGGTTTGCCGTCTAGATCACGTGGAAGTGCTCTAGACTCTCGAGGTGGTTTATAACACAGGCGTCAAGCAGGGACTTAAGTAATGACAATAATGAAATGCAATC